TGTATCAATGGCTCCAGGAGTGCAAATTTATCGATACCGTAAAACATAAGAAATACTAGTATGCAATGTATGTCAGTTCTTTCTGTCAAAGTCAAAGAATTTGATGACAAACAATGAAACATAAAATAGGATATAAATATAAGATAACCAATTGTGTATCATGTAACTTAACATTGAATTTACCTTCATTAAAAAAACTGGAACCATGTGAATAAAATGAAATAATAAAGCATAATCATAAATGATAATGTTAGAATGAAGACCATGATAGTCTGTAAAAAAAAGTTTTATCATTATGTACGTATCTGTTCTGGGAATGTTCTGGTGTATTTTTGAAATTCTGCCTTCCTGCTTGCTTGTTTTAGTTTGCCAGGTAAGGTGTGAATCCATTACCTACATAGTTTTCTCTCATAACTGTTAGCCAGTCAAACCAGAAACGTATGTTAGTCGCTCCAACGGGTATCTCTGTAATTGTCTTCCTTGTACCTAGAAAACAATTAAAATTAAAATTAACACATTTAATAAGATAACATGAATGTGAGAAAGTGATGACGTCAAGTTTAGAGCCAGTATTTTGTAAATTTTGTAAGCTTTATAATGACTTTGCCTGCAGATGTAACCCATCTTTTGGCTGATTTTTTGCATTCTAAATATTAGGTCTTTAATTCTATTTATTAAATTTGACAACGAAATGTTCCGACTAGTCGCTCAATACATAGGGCTCAAGGCAGGAGTGGATTGTCATCAGGATTACTAATAATTGAATAATAATATATGTAACAAGAGGTCCACGGACCTTATAGGTCACCTGAGTATCATGAAACATATTTCCAACTTTGAATTTTGTTTGAGTTTTGAACCAGAGGCCATAAAACTCACAATTTTGAAAGAGGCACCATTGCCCATCATAACTACACGTTTAACTTCTATTAATTAATTCCACGAGGCAGAGCTAAGAAGCAAAAAACCCGCATTTCCAAAGTTATTTATTTATACAAGTTTTCATGAACTATTAAAAAGTAGCAAGCCAAATGAAAGAAAAGAAATGATGACTATCTTGTAAAAGATATAAAAGTCGCTTTTTTTTATAGAGTTGAAATAATAATTTCAATGCGTGAGGGAATTATTCACGTAAGTTTAGACTTTTTAATTTTTTCACGACTGTAATATTTGAATGAATCTACACCATTTGTTGATTTATTATGAATTAGGAACACAATCAAATTCAAATTAGAACTTTCATGTCGTTCTCTGTATTTTATTTGTCGCTCACGAGCGACAAATAAAATTATGAAGAGGGAGATGAAAAGTCTAGTTTTAATTGTCAACAACATTAACGAATTACTTAAATGAATGAAATGTGGCTATCTGTATATAATCATTAAGGTCTCTTTTTAAATTAAAAAATAAATAATTGAAATGCTCTTAACAGTTTATTTTTTTAATTAATCACCATTGCGTATAACTAGTCAATAAATGCATTTTGACAGCTTTTTTTTTTAATTACAGCTATAGTTTACTATGCAGACATTTATACATGAGTGGTTTAATTTAATAACAAAGCCAGGGACAAGAAACCGGACTTTTAATATTTCATTGAATTCTGTCTTAAAATCAGTCTCTCGGGCTTGTTTTTAACCGTAAAGTATATTATAAAAAATAATGATATTATGAATATTTCATATGGGTAAAAATACTGGTTCACTGTTCATTTTTTTTTCACAAACATTATCTGATTGCAAGTACAAGTCAAATTCATCTGTAAACAAACTTTAAAGAGACAATTACTCATCTGTTACACGCTTTCGAATTTGAAATACTGTACAATTCTAATAGACATTGTGAACCTGGGGCAACAAGGAGGCTTAGACCATCTTTTCATCTCCTGGGCATATTTTAGTTATCAAGCAAATTAATGCTTTCAATTTTACAAAATATTTTTTTCTTTGAAAGATGCATAGGACATTATTTCTCAATTTTCAAATCATTTTTACATATCAATTTGAAATACTTTTACATGAAATAAGGTAATTTTTGGAATTCAAAGGTTTTTTTTTTATATCAAAATATATTTTCCTCCATGGCACCTGATCCCACCTCTGATGTTTTTAGAGGTCCGTGTTTGCTTGCTTGATATTTGTTTTGTTTTATGGACTGTGATATTAAATACTGTTCGTTATTTCCATATCCTTCATTGCAATTTGTTTTTTCATTTTATTTTTATCATTGTTTTTTTTTTTTTTCATTTTCAGTTTCTACGATGGGTGATCAAAAAGTTAGAAAACTAGCTGAATAACTTCCATAAAAGAAATGATATAGGGTTTCAGTGTTGAAAATTTTTAAAATTAGTCATGTCCGATTTTAACGCACATCTGCAACAATCGTTCTCCCCATGCACAAATAATGTGATCTAGGCACTCACGTAACATGCCCTGAAGCGCTCTGTCACAGAAGCTGAAAGATTTTACCGATTCTTATATTTCTTACCGAACATGTTATTTTTTTAATAAGGAAATCCAGTCCATTTGACAGAAATGGCCAAATCTCGGCAATGGTATGGGTAGATAAGAATATTCTTTTCCAGAATGAGCATGGTGATCATCAAAACCCGAGTAGTCCATCTTTGAAGCGTCGTTTAATTAATCAATGTGGATAAAGTATGGATGCCTTCTTTTAAGCATATTTCATATGTTTAAAGTCAAAAGTAAACAATATTTTTGGGTTTCAATAATGATATTGATCATTGTTTAGATATTCAACATTTCTACAACTGCTAGTGGGCAATCTTTCATATCAAATTGCTCAACAAAAGACACATCATCTCGCTTTCAATGGGCGATAGATCAAACATCATTTTTAAACATCTCCCATACTTCACTTTAACAATCAATCCAATTAATTACAAAACTTATGGAAAGTCTTTTGTCTTTAATTATAAACCGTGTTAAAATTATTATATACCCCTGCAAAGGAGTTTCAAGGACAAACAGCTTGAATTTACAGTCATTCGTTGCTCTAGTAATACTATGTCAACCATTGTTTGTCACAAGTGATCTACATATTGAAGTCATTTTCACATTGTAACGTCATAAAAAGCAAAATGTATCATTATATATGCTATATATATAGATCATTTTGATCTGAATTTAGTTTGGTAAATATAGAGAGAGTCTTTAAACTTTTTGATCACTTCTCGTATATCAATAAAATTATTTATACCTAGAGTTTTGAAAATAGCCCTCGATTTGATACCTCAATATTATAATAAAACATGTCCAGATTAGGCGCAAATCCAGGAATATTTCCAGGGGGAAGGGCAACCCAGTGAAAAAAGAAATCCAACCCAGAATTTGCTGACAAGCAAAAAAAAAAAAGATCCCCCTCTAGATTGCCAGATTATTTATAATTATTCGGTATATTTTGCTATTTTGAATAAATAGATAAATTCAAATTCTGGTAAGGTGGTTCCTTTTGTTTTTTAGTACACTGAATGCTTAATAAGAAATATGGAAAGAACATGAAATGTTGGGAAGAATGTGGAAAGAACCTGACATCTGAAGTCACTACACTTCGCAGGAATGTAAAATATGATGTGGTTTAATATCTTTTTCATTCAGTTGCATTTAGATAATTTTGAAGTTTTAAAATGATAAACGTCATTCACATTAATTTTTTATTTTAAAGTTATAAGAAATTTTAACTTAAAAAAATCTGGCAGAAAAGATTTACAAAAAATTTTTTTGTTATTAAAGGGAACTAGATAGAATTTACAACCTCTCTTTGGGTTGTCTTTCATATTAATTCTACTGTTTGTTTTTATTACAAAATTTGACTAACCCCGGTCTAATTTATTAATGAATTATCATTGACTGAACAACATGTTTCTCCTGCTAAGCACATGGACCCAGGATCATGAAACTAGACTTAAGACAAATTTCCATTCGCCTCTAAAATGATTATTAATATTGAATTAATCTCTAAAGTTGCAGATGACAACATTTCTGGAAAACAATGTGGAGAAATAATTTGATTTAGAGGTGCATGACTTTACAAGATATAAATACAACACAAAGATTTTGACTTAAGCTTCAGATGTTTCATGATCCCGGGGCCTGATCCTACATCGTAGGTTTCCATGGGTCCATGTTTTATGTCCTGTTTACAGAGTTGTATTCTGTGAATATTCGAAGATCGAATTTTGCTATCCTTACATTCTTTTAATTGAAATAATTTCAAATTTCATGTAATTGATCAATTGATAAGGTGTTGCTGCCTAAAAGCATAAATAAGACCAAATAACTTAAAGAAAACTCTCAATATATTTTCGACAAATCAGATAATTCTCCCTTTGACCGTAAAATAGTAACTATATTGTTTTAATTTTGTAAGGTTAAGAAAATCTAGTAAAGGCAATAATTCTAAACGTTCGATAATTTTTTTGATTGTTTGATTGATTGCATGATGTTTAACGACCCTCTCGAGAATTTTTCACTTATATGGAGACGTCACCACATGCCGATGGAGAGCTACAAATTTTGTCCTATACTTGCCACTTAGGGTCATTGAGCAGTGAGGGATTTAACACCTACTGCGACATGGGACCTCGGTTTATACATTATCATCTGAAGGACCGGTCTCCACGTCCCACAGTGTGATTCGAACCCGCGACGTTCGATAATTTAAGGACAGCTTATTCAGAAACTCATAACAGTGACGTAATATTAGACATACTATAGACACAAACTATGCCTTAACAAAAATGCAAACTTTCATTTTAATATTTGAAATTGCAATTGCAAAGTAAACATTCATTGCAATTCATATCAGATTCAACAAATCAATATTTTTAAATGTTTGAAACATACTGAGTACGTACCGTTAGCCAATCACTTTTCAGTAACTGATATTTTCCTTGATATTTATATTAAGTGTTTGGTATAACATATTGCAAATTCTTATATGTACGCAGCACGTAATTTTGAATACGAACAAATTTCGAAATGGGAGTGCTTTTGGCTATCTGCTTAATTTTTGTCTTTTTAGCGGTTTCTCGGTCTACCATTATTTCGCGGAAATACATCCGGAAACCAGAATTCGATGATAAAAAATCAAGTAATGAATTCTTGGAAGAATACAATTCTGCATCCTTTATCAAGTGTGCAACTCTCTGTCAAACGGAGTGCTTTTTCTATGGATTTAACCCTCGCATTAAGAAATGTCGTACCCACAAAATGATTTTCACATCTGGAATTTATAATGAGAATGACTGGAGATACTATTCCTTTGACTGTATGTATATTTTTTTTTTCTGTCTGCTTGCTTGTTTGTTGTTTAATGGTCCCTCTCGCGGTTTATAAAGCCCCAACTGCCCCAACCTAAGTTATATAGTCAAACTTGGGTATACAGTACAGGCCACGAGTTTTCCGCAACGCTCGGTGGAAAAAACACCGTGTGAAACGCTCTGTGTTACACCGTGTACACGGTGTAGCATTGAAATATACAGGTAGGCACACCGTGCCGCACCGTGTCTAGAAAAATCTCAGCTAGTGACCTCCGTGTCCCACCGTGTCCAGTAAATTTCGCTCCGTATCGCACTGTGTGTCTAGAAAATTCTCCTCCAAGCTGCACCGTGTAAATAGTATTACAGACAAAATCGTTTGTTTCTGATAAAAAATTGAAAATAAATTTTGATGACAATTTATAACTGGGTTTATGAATATATAATAAACGTTTTTTTCTACCAGTTATTGGACTTCGAATGGCACGCATGATATTGAGATTAGATATCTTTAAAAAGAGTGAATGATTTTCATTTGAATTACGGTAACTGTGTGTCTAGAAATTTATATTTTAGTAAAATTATTCATCCACGTTACAAAATCAAAATTATTAATTTCATTTTCAATGAATAATTTAATCTCATGTGTTCATGTAACAAAGGAAGACGAAATATCGTCGAGCTGCAATCGTGCCACATACACTGTATAGTACAGTATAAAATTAAATCAGAGCTGTATGTTTATGTTCATGATTTTAACATGTTACTAGTGTTCCAAGCATTATTATGTATATTCCTTATTAAAATACATTTATTTTGTTCATCTTGAATTATTCTGAATGTGGATGCGAAAATCGTCAGCAGAAACACTAAATTAATGCAATAATTTCAAAGCTTATTTCCCGTAACAGCAAACATTATTTTCATAGAGTTGTTACTGAATTCACTACGTTATGTTTTTAAAATCCTTTCAGTGTAAGTAATTATAATAAGTTTTTCTTTTCTTGTAAAGTGTATAAAAAGCAATACCAGAGAGAGAGAGAGAGACTCATACAACCCCCTTTTAACATAGTCTGTAATTTATTTTTTTTGATTCTTCGTTTTATTTAAGTTACGGAGGTCACAATTAAGTTAATCATTTTATAATTTTATTTAATTGCCACAGCTTTTGTTCATATTCAACCCATTTAATTCAATCAATATGTTTTCTGTATATGCAGTACGCACAAAATTCTCGTGCATCACCTGCCAATCAAAATCCCATGACGCTAGGTGACCTTGAAAGTCTGTTTACGCGAAAAGAATTTCTCTTGTGATTTGAAACATTCTGATGGTCAGTTCCGAGTTCACACCTGTTCAAAAAATATATTAGATCTCTGCCGGTGGGCCAGGGGCGCCGTATGTTGATCACACCTTTCAAATTCTTTAGCTCTGACCACAGCAAGTGTATACATGTAACACACTCAACTGATATCATGCGAAATTCATCTTCCAGGTTTCACTACAACAACAATTATAAACTTACATGTATTTGTTAATTTATTTATCCGTTTTCAGACACAAATAAAAATGTATCCCGTAGATTAAGATTTAAAAAAAAAAATAACATAAATTTGCAGACTTCTGATAAAGTTTTAAGCAGCTGATTCGCATTCTAGAAGGGGGGCATTTTTAAAAATCGCTAAATATGTTTCCTCAAACCGTTTTTTTTTTCTTCTTTTCACACGATATATTTCAGAAAGAAGTAATATACATACTGAAGTTAGCACATTTCCTTTGCCGAAAATTCGGCTGTGATTTTTGTATTCAGCGTGTTTACTAAGTTTATCACTATTTTAATTAATGAAATTTATCAGATTATCATCTCTGCCTGTTCAGTTGATTTTCGAGATTACCGCATTTAATATTTATCTCCATATTTTACATAATTACAGATTTTTAGTGTTAGTCTTACTGCAATAATCCTTATCTGAACCTGTCCAATGATTCGCCGAGTATCGGTATCAAAGAGCAGAATTAATGTGCGAGTCTGATACGTATTTCTTTTTTTAATTTATTCTAGACACAGTACATGTACACATATATATATACATATGTTAATTCTTACAAAATAATTAATTCACATGTAGTATATAATCACGCATCTGATATGTAATACGTAGGGAAAAACGATCTTGCAAAACGATTTAAAATCAAAATCGAAAGTAGAGACAATCAAGTAATTCATTTATGAATGTGTGTTTCCTCTTAGTGTAATATAATAATAGTCTATTGAACTTTTTATGACTAATATAATTAGGATTTAACTTGAAACGTGATTGTATCTTTTTTTTTGCTGGACACGAGTACGTTATTATAAAGTTTTAAGGCATCTTATAAGTTTAATTATCTGTATGCGATAAATTACCAATATTAATTTATGGAACAGTATAACAAATATTTCAAAAGACAGTTGATTTAATTGTATTAAATAAGGGCAATGAGAATGTTTAAAATATTTATCATCAGAACTTTGACACACCGTGTTACACGGTGCACAGAAACGCTGACTTCAAAGACGCCGACAAGGTTTGAGGTCCACGCTAAAGCGTGGACTTGCGGTCCACGGGGCCCCGTGTTTTTTGCGGAAAACTCGTGGCCTGTACTGTAGCTATCAAATTCATTCCTTTATAATTTTTTTTTTGAATGACTGTTGAATTCGAAGTTGATGGAATTATATTTTAATAAACTAAACATTCTCTGTCGGCTTGTATTGTTTAAAAGAATTTTTTATCTAAAGATTAAAAACAAATTTATTAAAGCAAAATAATTTTAAAAATTAACCTTCATAATTCTTACAGGTATAATGTATTCTCTCACAGCACTTGTATGTTACATACTAGTAACATTATTACATTTATTTTTTTTTCTGCTTTTAAAATTAGTTATTCCCAGAGATTGTGAGGATCTTTACTCAGATGGTAACACTAATTCCGGGGTGTACGACATCTACCCCTATGGAACCATTACTAGTCCGGTCCGAGTTTACTGCGATATGAACATAGTGGGGGGAGGATGGACGGTAGGTTATTTCAAAATTAAGGGGGCTGGATGGTTGTAGCCATTTTCAGGCTATTTTTATCTCCTTTAGAAGAAGAGTTCCATGTAAAAAAAAATGATCAAATTTTAAAACTAAAATTTATGCAATTTTTCTTTGCCAAATGATAGTTGAAAGCTTCAGATATCATATCTAAACGAAAATAAGTTATATCTGATGGTTAATTTGTTGACCCCTCCTCCCCCAGCCTCCTTAAAAGTACAAAATATAATTCACACTCCGTGTTTTAGTTGTTCATGAAAATACATGTATAGGATAAAAACAGATGAATATTTGAAGATAATATCAGTACACTTTGATCATACAACTGTTCTGAACCATATATTTGTATTGATATTCTTGTTAATTTCAAAAGGCGATTCAAAAACGTGTCACTGGATCCCAGAGTTTTGACAAGGATTGGGCAGCATATAAAATTGGTTTTGGTGCCCCGGAACAGGATTTCTGGGTTGGTAAGTGTAAATCTCAATCAAGTAGGGACTTTTAGCCGCTTCAAAATTTGATAAAATTGCTTTGTTGTGACAAATAAAAAAGGAAGCGTATCAAATATCTGGTTTTAAGTCTTGGTTTTATGTTTTTCATGATACTCACGTACCATATTAAATTAGTACTTAAATAATACAATAATGAAAACAAGAAGTAAAAATCACTAAGTGGCATTGTCTAAACGAGACGAAAATTCACACTTATGTCTAAAGCTTAACTAGAAAAACATCTTTTTTCATTAAGTTATATTCATATTTAAAATAAAATCAATTGTATTCCAAAGACCTTTCTGTTTGTATAAAATACATCTTAATACAGGAAATGACGTAATACATCTGTTAACAAAAGAAAAGAACACATCCCTGTATATTTCCATCACTCTCCAGAATGGCACAAAGCTGTATGAAATATACGACCGATTCTCTGTCTCCGATGAAACAGAAAATTACAAACTCTATCTTGCAAGACCTGCCACAGGAACGTTAGGTAAGGTTATTTATGTTAATTGTTTTTAAAGTTTTTAAAATTGGGTACAAAACATGTACGAGGGTTGATCCAAAAGTAATGTCACTGTGTCAATATCTTTAATATTTGAAGTCATATTATCAAATATTATATACCAAAAAAGGCATTAAAATAAATCTAATCAAAATTGAAATTTTTATTGAATAATGTTTAAGGTACATTGATACTCTGATAAGAGAGATAACTCCTAATGACACAAATGTATATTATTCCTTTATAAATTTGTCAAGTTTAAGTGCCTTTTTTGTCAAATTTTGCCCCGCAAGCCATGCTATAATTGTTTGTATTTTATTCAGAATATACATTTGCTTTGGAAAATCATAAAAGTTAAAGAAAAATTTCATATGAGTGAGCAGAGGTATTATGACCTTTAATTGAATTTGTTTTATAAACGTTTAAAATATTAAACATAAGGGGTGTCGCAGCATCACCACTAAAGGTCAGGTTTTAAAGTGTAAATTGTTAGAATGAGAAAAGGCAAACACATTAAAAAGCATCTAAAAAAGCGTCTAATCGCCCAATAATTTTTAAGACAAAAAGTTTTCGACATTTTCTAGTATTAAGTTGAAAATAAAATGACGTCATTGATTTTTTATCTTAAACATTGTTGTTTTAATCTGCTGTATTGAACAAAGGAAACGGGCTGTGATGCATTTTTGCTACAAAATGGAGAAATCGACCGTAGAAACAGTTACGATGATTAATCAGACATACAGAGGAGATAATGTAAATAAGAGACTTGTTTATGGATGGTTTCAGCGATTTAAGTGGGTCATGGGTCACTGAATGGTCAGCAAAGGACAGAAAGGCCGAAAAAGGGAGGTTGCACCTTTAATTTACACTGAAGTCTAAGGGCAATGCATAGTTTTTATAAGATATTGTAGAGAGTTATTTGAATTTTCAACAAACCTCTTGGTAAAAATATCCATAAATTATCTCTTTTTATTAAACAATGAAATAAAATGAACTATTTACATTTTGAGAAATTATTTTTTTCCCATTTTCGTCAAACTCTTCATAAAGTTACAGAATTAAATAGAACATACAGATCACCAACACTTCGTAAAAATGCTCAAAACAAAATTAAAGCTAGAGACCAACACCTTGAGGTTAAAATTGCTTCTTACGATTCTAACGAATGGATACCACGTGGTATTCAATAGAAGATTTTGTCAATGACAATTAATCTTTGCGGAAGATATATATCACACAAGCAAATATAGGCGGATGTCGTTGCTATGAAAATGCAGAAGATTTGTACAGCATGCAGATAGGATGTACATTATTTTTGTAACTTCTTAATACTTTGACATTGTAAATAAAAAGTTAAGTATGTTTTACAATAAACATGTAATGCATGGAATGTTTGTGAAGTATAATTATTAAATATTTTGTAATAAATTCCGTGCACATTGAATTGTTAACAAATAAAAAAGGTCAAGGATTTACAAAAAGTGATTATTTTCCTATTAATTGTAAGTCGGGTTTATAAGATATTGTAGAGAGTTATTTGAATTTTCAACAAACCTCTTGGTAAAAATATCCATAAATTATCTCTTTTTATTAAACAATGAAATAAAATGAACTATTTACAAATTATTTTTTTATCGTCAAACTCTTCATAAAGTTAAAAAGGATCACCAACACGTAAAAATGCTCAAAACAAAATTAAAGCTAGAGACCAACACCTTGAGGTTAAAATTGCTTCTTACGATTCTAACGAGTGGATACCACGTGGTATTCAATAGAGTCTGGATCAAAATGCGGAAGATTTATAGAGTAGGCGGATGTCGTTGCTATGAAAATGCAGAAGATTTGTACAGCATGCAGATAGGATGTACATTATTTTTGTAACTTCGTAATACTTTGACATTGTAAATAAAAAGTTAAGTATGTTTTACAATAAACATGTAATGCATGGAATGTTTGTGAAGTATAATTATTAAATAGTAATAAATTCCGTGCACTGTGATTGAAAAAAAGGTATTTGTCGGGATGCAAAAACTGATGAAATTACTCGTTTTAAAACTTTTTTATCGATCTGTAAAAAGGATACAATGATTACGACTATCGTTCACAACATTCTACATTCAGAATATTAATTTTGTAGTGGGTATTTGTGAGCTTTATGTGATGTGACAAAAATGTTAGAGCCCCTATGACACTGCAAACCTTGTCACTGTAAGCCATAGTGTGATAAACGACACCCAAATGTGTGATGGTAGTGAAATTACTTTGGCAGAAATACATTCATTACTGACCCAAATGAACTCTGACAAATGTAGAATCCAAAAGTTACTGTTTAGAAGTTCGGCTGACCGAAATTAAAAAGAAAATTTCAGCTATGCAGCTGTAGACACAGTAACCTCCAAGGTCAATGTGATGACAGAAGAAATGCAAACTATCAAAAACGATCAGAAAGAGCTAGAATCTGTTCTCTGGGTAATTCATTTGATTCAGTAAAAGACGCAGTAGGGTCCTCAAAACAGATAAATGAAAACCGAAAGGAGTTGGTCAAAATCAAAGAGGGAAAAGGTCAGCAAGATCGAAAGAAGATATACAGACATTGAATGAGGCAAGTTTCAACCTACGGGAGTCGATGATTGATCTCAAAGCTCGCTCCATGAGGGACAACTTAATATTCAGTGGAATATGGGCAGAGAAAAACGAAGACACCGAAGCAGTGTTACAGGAATTTATTTACCGCAAATTTAAGCCTCGCTATACGAAATTTCGTTTGAGAGAGTGCATAGGATGGGAAATGTAACGAATTTAACGAATTCCCCCGGCAATATACATGTTGTGGCTAAGTTCTCTTTCTTTAAAGACCGGGAGTTCATACGGACACGTGCATCCCAAAAGTTAAGCGGCACTCATGTCTGGGTCAATGAGCCATATCCCCCAGAGATTTAAGAAAAAAGGAAGAAGTTATATCCCGTAATCCGAAAAGCCAGGAAGGATCACAAAAAGGTTAAACTTGTTCGGGGCACATTATACATAGACGGTAAGGTTTACACTCCACCGCCTGATCAGGCTGATCAATTCGTCACTAATCAGGGGAAGCAGAACAGGATCAACACTGACCGACAGCTGAAATTAGTGTTTAGCTCAGTTTTGACCATACCATTCAAGATGGTGTTATCAAACTTCACATGTTGATACATACTGATGAGGGCTATTCAACTGCATCAACATTTTTTACCTTGACCTTTTCTTTGACCTTGGCCTTATTTTTCTAAGATTAGTGTTTAGCTCAGTTTTAACCATAGCATTTAAGACGGTGTTATCAAACTTCACATGTTGATACATACTGATGTGAGCTATTCAACTGCATCATCATTTTTTACCTTGACCTTTTCTTTGATCTACACCTCACTTTTCTTTAATTAGTGTTAATCTCAGTTTTAAGGATACAATTCAAACTAGTATTATCAAACTTCATATGCTAGTACATACTGAACAGAGCTATTCAACTGCATCAACCTTTTTGACCTTGACCTTTCCTTTAACATTGACCTCAGTTTTCTTTAATTAGTGTTTAGCTCAATTTTAAAGATACATGTACCATTCAAGATAGTATTATCAAACTTCATATGCTGATACATAATTAAAAGAGGGCTATTCTACTGCATTAACATTTTTACGTTGACCTTTCCTTTGACCTGCATCAACCTTTTTGACCTTGACCTTTCATTTGACCGTGATCTCACTTTTATCAAATTGTTTTAAAGAAATCATTCAAGATTAAACTTTATATGTTGATACATATTAATGAGAGATATGCAACTGCATCAACATTTTTGACCTTGACCTCACATTACTAAATTATTGTCAAACTTCATATGCTGATGCTGATACATATTGATGTAAGCGTTTCAACTGTATCAACATTTTTGACCTTGACCTTTCATTTGACCTTGAACTTACTTTATCAAATTGGAGTAATTAAGTTTTAAAAGAAACCATTTATAATACTTTTTCAACTTAATATAATGATACATACTGATGAGAGCTTTTCAATTGCATCAACATTTTTTTAATTTGGCTTTTTTGACCTTGACCCCACTTTAAAGAAATTAGTGTAAAACTTCATATGGTAATTGATACTGATGTAAGCAATTCAACTGCATCACTTTTCAAGGTATTCTGATCAAATTTCATACAAATTATCATGCTGCATTATAATATACCCTCGGCGGAGCATTCATGTCCTATGGACATATTTCTAGTAAATTGTGTTTAACTGAAACAAAAACAGATAATGCTGAAGATATTAATATACCAGGTTATAATACTTACATGAAAAATAGATTTGATGTAGCAAAGGTTAAATCTGGCGGGATAGTTTTAGCCGTTAAAGTAGATTTTGTCATTTTTTTAATTGTACATAATACATGTTGCCCATATGTTTACTGGTTTTCGCTTGCCAAAACTTTGTTTAATCTACCAAATGACATTCTATTTGGAGCTGTATATATACCCCCTGAAAATACAAAATATGCATCAAAAGATTGTTTTCTAGAAATAGAGAGAGAATTGTTTAATCTATCACATGACACTGATTATACCTGTTTATTAGGTGTTTTAATGCCCGAGTGGGTAAATTGCAAGACTATGTAAATATCGATGAATTTTTAGCCGAGCATAATAACTATGGGTATAAATGCATTGAATTTTGTCAGAATAACAATTTATTATTCATTGCAAATGGCAGAACTCACGTGTAGAAGTAGAAGTACAGTAGATTATGTAATATGTAGTGTATGGGCAGCGGAAAGGGCAAAAATTACCATAATGAGAAAACAAACAATTATTTTAATTTCAATGATCATAAAAACTTAACAAATGATATACAATGCATAATCAACAGACCTTTTCGCAGAACAAGTATACATTAAAGCATAACCAACGAACAAGTACGTAACAAACATATATGAATGCAAAACCAACGATCATCTTTG